GCAGGCACTCAGTAGGCCTTTTCCTCCCACTTCTCCCCATTACAACAGTGCCACCATCCCCATCTCCCCCTTTTTTCCAGGGCCAGGTTAAAGTCGTGCTCCTCCCAGTTCAACACAAAGGTTGGGTGCTGCTGCTGATGACACTGGCCATTTATCTACCTGTATCCTGGAGGCTGGAACATCCCTCACCCTTGCACCTGCCAGACCCCAGCCTGCCCCAGTGCCTCCCTTGCCTGCTACTCTCAGTACTGGTGACAGGTTGGATTTTCAGCCCACCTTAACCCTGCAGTGGTGGCAGGATGAGAGAGATAAGAAGCACAGACACTGCAGGACTGTGCAAGGCTTGTGTTTACTTGCAACCTCTGATGAAACCAGTGGGCCTAAAGGCCTTCCCTCAAGAGTGCTGATCTTTCCCCAGTGTGACTTCATATGGCAGCAAGGGTCTTTGCTCCCTCAGTGAAGATAAGTGGTTTTGGGAGGCCTGGTTCAATGTGTTTCTCCAGCACTGGTGTGACTGAGCTGGCCCTTGTTCTGCATCTTGGGAGGAGAAGCTGCCCCAGCCCCTGCTTCTGGTCTCCAGCTCAGGTCTGGCTTGACTCAGTCTCTGAAGTTCTGCGCTGTGTGGGCAAATGGTCCAGCTGTCGTCAGCCCAGACCTAGAGTTTTGTGAGGTCTGTACTCCAGTTCCTGGCATCAGCTGCACTAAATCTCTGGTTTTGCTCAGAAGTACTGTGCAGATACTCAGGTGAGCCATTGGTGTCTCCTCCAGCAGAGGGAAACTGGCACTGCAGAGACGTGACTCAAGGCAAATCCTGTTTCTGCCCAAGTCCATTGGACATCAGCTAATCAGAGGTTCTAGAGACCATAATCCCTGATGGCCCAGCCCTGTGCAGTTGGTCTGATGGACCCTGCTGCCTGACACCCCTGTGCATGTGTGTATTTAAGCAACACATATGTCTTTTCCTTTGTATTTGCAAAGTGTATGCAGCAAATGGACAGTGGAGGGTCTATACTGTAAGGGTCCAGGTGATGCAGGTCCTGGCAAGCATGGGGGGGGGGGACACCCTAGGGCTTGCTGCCCACCGCCTTGGTGCAAGGCTGGTCAAGGGAAAGGGCAGTCATTTGGTGGCAACAGCATTCCTCGCCAAGGATATAAATAGCTGCTCTGGTGACCCAGGGAAGAATTGCTGCACAGGCAAGGTTAATTATCAGGAGAAATTACGGGGACATTGTTCCTCCAAAGATAACCTGCAAGGGATGAAGCATGGAGCAATTTTTTCCCCTTCAGAGTGAAGGAAAACGACATGAAATATTGGTGCAGTGTCTTTGTTCTCAGCTTTAGGCTGGCTCTGCCATTTAGTTGTTTTTCTTCATTCTGTGTCAATGAGAACCAAGATGGATTAACTTTTTGTTTCTCCCCCGATGTCCTCCCAGAGAAGAAGCTGAGATAGCTTCTGTAGGGCTGAGCAAATTGTCTGTTTACTTTAACTTCACACACAGATCTTTTTTATTTTTAGTTTAAGCACAAAATCTGGTGTTAAGGGGTGAAAAAGAAGCAGATGAAAATAATGTGCTAGAAACACCTACATTGGACAGCAGAGTTCATGGGCTCATTCACAGATGAAACCTGCTGCTCGCTTCTCTTGCAGGCCCAGAGGTTTTGTGATTTGTCTCCATGTGTTCGGGCAGGTGGCCAATGCTCTGTGTCAGTGGCAGCATCAAAGCTGTGCCCATATGATGAAGGCAGTGAGGCTCCCTGGCACTGGGGGTGTTTGTCCTGATGATGAAGCTCTCTGTCCTGCTGTGCCTCCGTTGTGCCTCTCCCTGGTCAGGGACTTTGGTTACAGGAAATTACTGAAGAAAGGGCTGCGTATAAATAGCCTGGCACTGGCTGACCGCATCCTTCTGCGGAGAGGTGGGGAGAGGTGAAACTTGAGGCTTGGGAGCAGCTAAACAAGCCCCATCCACAGGAGACAAGAACAGCTTTATGATAGCCTGAAGCTGGGGAGAACAGAGAGGTTTTGCAATTCCATTGCCTTGGTTTTCCTTGCAGAGGGCCCTGGGGAAGCACTGCTGTATAATTCAGTATGTGAGCAGTGTCTGAACTGCTGGGCAAGTGCTCTGCCTGAGCGCAGGACATGAGTCCAAGCAAACCCCTCTGTCTCCCAGCCAGTCCCAGCAGGAGCCAGTCCATGCTCCAACCCGATCAACAATAATGTGTCATCAACTAAAAACTCAAGTGACTTGTTATTTATTTATTTATTTCTCCTTCAAGGTATTCATTGAAAACCCAAACCAAAATCTATTTTGGCAACTAAAAGCTGAAGTTTTAGTCAGAAAATGACAGGATGTTAAAGCTTCAAAAAGTGTTCCTCTCTTGCCTGCTTGCTTTTATTTTTAATGCAACCATTTGGAAAGGCCTCTGTGAGAAGACATTTCCTGCAAAACTTTTCACCTGGGCACAGAGGATAGCCTTCTGGTTTTTTAATCCAGCAACAGGTTATGATCCAGTCTGGGACCTGCAGAGCAGTGTGGTCTTCACTGGGGTTTCAGGAATCTGCTCTTATATGCCTTTGCCCTTGCCTGTTGTGATGTGCTTGCTGGGAGTGTGGAGGAAGGAAGAAGCCTAAAGAAAACTGGTGAGGTTTCTCCTAATTTGCTGGGAAGCTTCTTCCCCAGCAGGATTTCTTTAACTGAGAACATCTCCTAAGCACACTGAGTTAGGGAATGAGATGTTTTCAAGGGCCTTTGGCAAAGGCAGAGGTGATGGATGAAGTGACCTGTTCCTGGCACCTTTTCACCCATCACATGAAACACAAGTAAGTAGAAACTGGGCAGTTTGGCACAACTCTGGCTCAAATCATTGCTCTGTCCTTTATCAGGACAAGCATAATTTGAAGAAGCAAAGCATGGGAGGGGGCATAGATTTGTCAAAGCTGCTTCTGCCCTTCTTAAGATATTTAACGTCTCCCTTTCCCAAAGAGTAGCAGTCTGCCTCAGTATTTTATTCAGAAATACCAAACCAGAGGTGAAATAACTCCCATGGGTTATGGATGGAGTGCTAGCTCCTGTTCACCATCCATCATAACTCTGCTTCCCATCACCTCACCCTTTCCAAACATTTCACCTGTCAAGCTGATAATTTTAGATCTGGCAAGAATGTTCAAGAGTGATTCCCCCCTCCCCGTTCCTTAAATGTTTGTTGTTCTTGTTTTGTTTGGGTTTTTTTTAAATTACATAAGGAGAAGAACACCCTTAGATCGTGAGCCAAGAGAGGGCTGTAGCCTGAACTGCATTCACCTGTGCTGGTGTTGGGAAGTTAAGGTTTGACTGGGAAATGGTCTCTTTGGAGAACAGTGCCCCTCAGCTGGCTGGTCAAATTAGCTTTTGGGTTTTGTGAGATTACTGAGGGTCAAAATCCGAGTGTGTGTGTCAGATGCAACTCTCTGTATTCTGTTTCAGCTGCGCGCTTATGAGCCTTTTAAAGAAAGACGGTGCCATGCTGTGTCTGGTTGCAGGACGGGCAGAGGACATTTTCTTTGGTGTTAATGGTAGAAACCAAGACTGTGTGGGGTGAGACCAAAACCCCGCAGGACATCACTGGCGATAAAATGTCATTTTGCTGTGTCTAGCAAATGCTTGCTAGAAATTTGCTGTTAATAAAGAGGTTCATTAACACCAGTGTTAATTAAAAATGGGACAAAGCCTTGATAAGTGGCTTGGCCGATCCCCCTGTTTGTTTTGGTCAGGATTCTATGAGGTAGTGACATGTCATGCGTGTGCCTGCTGGTGCTGTGTGTGCACAGCCCATAGGGTCAGTCTTGGTGTCCCTCACCCCAGCTGCGCTGGGGCTGCAATTCAAGCTCATCATGCAGCGCTTAGCCTTGGCAGGGCTCTCACTTTTTCCTCTGACATCCTTTCCAAAGGAACCTTCAAAGTAGTGAGGCAATGCAGGAGACCATGGCCACACACTGTTCTAAGCACAGTGGGAATTACTCCCAGGGTTTGTTGCCCAAGGAAGTTGTGAATGCTCCATCCCTGGCAGTGTTCAAGGCCAGGTTGGACAGAGCCTTGGGCGACATGATTTAGTGCGAGGTGTCCCTGCCCATGGCAGGGGGGTTGGAACTAGATGATCTTAAGGTCTTTTCCAACCCTATGCTATGATTCCATGCCCTCAGAGAACGCAGCGCTCAGTGGCTGATGTGGCGGGGGCAAACGCTGCTGGATGATTGTAATTCAGAAATCATGTAACTGTGCAGCAGAAAACTATGGGCCTGCAGAAAAGCACACCATAGGGTGCGCTTTTGGAAGGCTTCTGGCCTGCCGACGGTGGCAAGGGAGCACAGAAACATAAGACAGTAGGTAATTAAACAAATGAACGTCACGCCGAACTCTCCGCAGAGCGGTCAGAAATCGGGAACCAACAACAAGCGACTCACGCTACAGGGGCGCGCCCGCTGGCACAGACAACACCCCCCATCACGTGAACGCACGCTTCCCATCTTGGGATTGGCTGAAAGGGATCATGTGCAGCGGGAAGGGGCGTGGCGAGAGGCCGCGGTTGCCAAGGTGACAGGAGGCGGCGGCGCGGGTTGCGTGTAGATCGTGCTGGCTGGGCCGTGGTGGTGCGGGTGGCATTCGGGGTGCGCTCGGTTCGCTCCGGAGCTGGTAGGGCCACATGCTGTCGGCCCTTCAATGAATTGTCGGAGCCCCCCGGTCCGGGTAGGGGTGCGGCGGGGGTGCTGGGTGAGGAGCCGATGTGACGGCCCCGCGGCCTGGCGAGAAGAGCGATTCAGATCGGTGAGGACCGGCCTCGGAACTTCCGTGGAGGTACCTTGCGCGGGGTGGGTGTCTTCCTCATGCGGTTCCTTTGAAGATGAGATGGCTAATGGGCTGTGCGTGGCTGGGGTTGTGCGAACCGCTGTGCTGTCTGATAACCCCTTCCTTCTTTATGATTTTTTAGGTTTATCAACAATGAACCACAGCAGTTAACGCTTAGCGATGAGTAACGGTCAAGTTTATGAATCTGAGTTACTCGGACTAGTGAGAGAGGTTAGTTTTCTCTCTTTTTTTTCTTTTTTTCTTTTTGGTTGAAGTGAGCAAGGCAAAATTTCATAATGCTTGTATTCAGAGCCAGGCATTGTAACTGTGGTCTAAATTCTGGAGTTACTTATCTGGGCAAGTGTTTGCTACACCCTGAAATCATATTGACTCCTGTCATGTTCTGTAGATTCAAAGGGCTTAACATCCATTAAATGCCAATAATAAAATATAAAATCAGTCTGGAATTATCTGTTGGTCATTGCAAATGAGACTTTCATTAAAGGAACGGTTAAGTTGATTAGATCCACAGACAGTTTTAGGGCCCAGGTCCGACTTGTGATAATAGCAAGATCTTTAAAACATTGTTTAGCTACTGCCTTGTTTCATATGTGTATAAAAATCACAAAGGCATATAAAAACCCTAGAGCGGCAAAGGCCAGGCTGAAGTCCTGAGACTACTGGTTTAATGCCTAAGGAGGATTTTCCAGCGAGTCACTCCTAGGCAATATGGGTAGAGGTAATCAGAATGTATTCTAAAGTGTGAAATGGTCCTGTGAAAAAGACAGTGAGAGATCAGCTTTCAAGGGCAAGCGCCTCTGAAGTAATCTGTACTTCAGCTTTCTGGATAAATTGGCTAAAACGAGACATTTATGATTTGGAACAACAACACGAACTGTGATTTCTGCTGCTTGTTACTGCTCCATTCCTTTAATTGACACTGTGTTGGTAGCCTAGTTTAGGGCCCTAAATGAACACCAAACCAACAAAACCTAGACCCCCTGCCTTGTGTGATCCACCTATTGCAGCGTTCCACAGACGCCAATGCTAGAGAGTGGCAATCAGGAGTGGCAGCCAGTGCCCAGTTTCACCAGGCTGTCTGTTGGAAGCCTGGACAGAGAGTCTACCAAATGGGAAAATCATACACAACTTAAATCTTTCTGTGGATCTCAGAAAACAAATCTAAAAAGAGGCTCAAGTACTTAATCATTATTACTGTGTTCCTGTTTATGTGAACAGTGGAGAAAGTAAACAATTGTTGTTCTTCGTAGCAAATCAAAATGAATAGATTTGCTACAGATTTAAATAGATCAAAATGAAATGTGGTGTCTTGCCTCAGCAGCCAAGAACTAAGACTCTCGAGATGGAATGAGAAGGGGAAAGGTGTGTGTAGTATAGTGACTGTGCATTGTGGGAGGAAGAGGCAGGGCTATTTATCTCTTTCTCAGAACAGTACTTGATTAGATGGTCATTAATTTGGCTTGCACAGCTTCAGGTGAGTGACCTACCTTAAAATTCAAGCTGTCTGTCTACTGTGGAGATAAGAGTCATACTTGAGAATTCTGCCCTCTGAGAATGATGTTTGCAAGGAATTTATTTACTCGTTTCTTTAACCAAGGTATAGCATTAATGAATTTCAGTTCTCATTTAGTTGAATGAAATTACTAGCTAAATTGAGGGGCATCATTTTTTCAGAGAGGATGTGCTTTGTTGTCAGTAGTATTCTCCAGGATGCAGGTGGAAATTTGGTTCTGAGGCAGTATTTCCCTACCATAAGGTACCAGTTCTTGATTTGTTGCTGTGCAGTCTTTGGTGTTTATGGACCTTGCTACAGAGAAACTTTAAAGGACTTTGGCAATTAATGGGTCACTCACTGGAGCATTAGTAATCTAAACCCACATTGTTCCTGTACGTTTTTGTTTTGTAGTATTTGGATTTTGCTGAATTTGAAGAAACAGTGAAAGTATTTACAAATGAATGTCAAATAAAAGGGAAGACACTACCTAAACCAGCAGGTGTTTCCTCCAGAGATTCAAAAGCTTTGGCTATTCAGGTAATGCATAGTTTACTTTCAGTAATACTAAAAAACAGCTAAAGGCTACTAATTACTGTGTGAGATTACAGCAGCTCTCCGAGCTGTCTGAAGAGATTCTTGATTATTTGAAGAAGTCTGCTAGCAGTCTTCCAGTGCAGGATTCTTTGACTTTGGATTGGTTGGTTGGTTGGTTTTGTTTTGGTTGGTTTTTTTTTTTCAGGACTGCGGTCCTTTTGAACCTGAGACAGTAGTTTTGATTCTGACTATTTTAGGTTTTTAGCTTGCCATACTTTGATAAGACTGATTTTTGCACATTGTAGGAATTTGTTTTTACCTTTTAGTAAAGATGGGTCCCCAGATCAACATGTTTGAAAATTTGGGCTTCTCAAATTGGTGGTGGATTCAGGATCTCAAAGATATTAAAGAAAAAATATTTGGGTGGCCACTGAATGATGAGACATTTTGGATAAAACTTTTAATTCAAAGTGTTCAGGTGGCACTTGAATTCTTCATTCACTAACCTACCGTTGGAAAAATGTAGTGCTTCTGTGTTGGGTTTTTTTTTTCTTCACTGAATGCTTTTCCCTTTTGCAGAAAGATCTGCTTACAGCATTTGAAAATGGTGAACAGAAAGTTTTCTTTCAGCTCTGGGAGGAGCATATTTCATCTTCAGATCTGGGCGATGAACCGGCTGCTCAGAAACTGGAGTTCTATCTTCACATACACTTTGCCACCTACCTCTTGAAACACAATATTGGAAAGCCTGTAAGTTTAGTTCACAATTTAAACTTGAAATGGCTTTTGTTTTGTTTGCTTCATTTGTTTTTAGTGTGGGTGAGGATGGAATGTTTACTAAGAAGAATTCCCAGTCTTTGGGCCTAATATGCAGTCTGCATTTTAGTTGAACCAGACCTCTTGTACTGTGAAGTACAGAGATGGAAGTTGGAGGTGTCCTTATCCTGGAGCTCCTAAAGTATTTTAACTTGGAAAGTACCAGCATGATGATTCTTTCAGTCTGTAGGAGATTCTTAAAACACTTATCTTGCTTCCAGTTTGGACTGAAGCTGTCTGTTGAAAAACAAACGCTTATGATAAAATGAGAAAGCTGAATCTTGACCAGCTCAAGATATCATATTGAAAGCTAATTCCAAGCTGTCATAAAATAAAATCTCTGTTACATGGGACATTTATGATGAAGAGAACTTTAAGTAGCCTGGAGTCAGCCAGGGCTTAATAGCTCCTGCGTTACACCTGTTAGCTGCTGCAGGAGTATTTGGATGCCTTCAGTTTGTTTTCCAGCCTCTAAGGAGCTTTTTTTCTCTGTGCCAGCTTCCCTTCCTGGTGCTGTATGAGTGAACTTTGTGGTTCTGCACTTATCACTGAAATGAAGCATGTCTAAAGTAGGTGTTTCCTCTCTGCCCTGAGTATGGAAATGTACTCTGCTTTAGAAATGTAGCTTGAAGGGGGAGGAATGATTTACATTCAAAAAGCAATTGTCTCTCACTTTTGTTGGACGTGGGGGACAGAGACAACATTGGTTTAAATTTTCTTTTTTTAAGTGGTGAAAGCAAGATAGAATACTCCCTAGTTAAATAAATCTTGCTTTTTAGATAACAGATATTCTGGGATTTCAAATTTGATATTAATGTATTTAGGTCTCTGCTTGTATTTGCCAGCATTACAGTGTGTTCAGAGTGGTAGTTTTCTAAATAAATATGCTACTTTATTTCCTAGGACAAAAATGAACTTGAGGAAAGGATTTCTCATTTTAAGGCATACCTGGAAACAAAAGGAGCTGCACTGAGCCATACTACAGAGTTTCTTCCCTTCTATGCTTTGCCTTTTGTTCCAAACCCCATGGTACATCCTTCTTTTAAAGAACTTTTCCAGGTAAGTATGTGTTTTGCAGAGAGGGTTTTTATAATAATTTTTCTGATGGGGTAATAGATGTTGAATGATATTTAGTTTGGTAATCATTTTTATTGTTTCCTTTAAAAGAAACTACACAATCATAAAAAAATCAAATATTTGATGGAGGACGGGTTGCGAGAGTAACATCAATAACAAAGTACCGTCTTACATACGTATTTGCCATTTGTTTGAGTTCGAAATGGTATGCTAGTTTTGTGTCCATAAATAGGAATTGCTGCCTCTCCTTCCTTTCCACAGAACCCTGAAATGCACATGCTTCTGGGAATCGCTATTTAGTAGTTCAAGTCCCTTTAACTTGTTTTGAGGTTGTTGTATAGCCCCACTATCTGTGTGTAAATATAGCTGGGTTTAAAACATGATAGCTAGGCATGAGGAGACTGAAGCAGTTTCATTTTATGTAGAAAAGAGAAAGTCAAGTTTAAAAGTAATCTTCCTGTAACAAAAAAAGACTCAGAGTTACCTGCCCCTCCAACCCTCCCCCCCCCCAAAAAAAATTGTGCTGGAAGAGCACAGATGTGTTTAGTGGTTTAGTGACTCTTGCCACAGGCATTTTTCCTGACTAATTATTTGTTAAATATATTTCAGCCTTCGCTTTGGCTGTTTCAGAGTTGAGTTTTTAGGTTTGCATGTGCAAGGTGAGAAGAGAGTGTAAAAGTGTATTTGAACTTGAACACATTTGCAGGTGCACTCTAAATGTGATGATGATCTACAGTTATTCTATTGATGAAAGGGTAATAAAACACCCTAACATTGACTGCTTTCTGGGCACCATGCAGGTAGATGATTAGGAGATGATGGTTTGATGTTCCAAAGCATTGGTGTACCTTCCCCATAGGTACAGCCATCATTTTTCCTGTGGTGAAAAACTGTGCCTTAACTTCTTGGTTATGCTGGAAACAGCTGGTTATGTGGTTGGACTGGATCAAGGACCTGATCTGCTTTATTGCCTGTGAATGTGTATATATACAGCTCCCATGTACACACACACAGGTACACATATTTGTTTGTGAAATATGTACAGTATTTTGCAGGGTTATGTATGCGTGAAATGCTTCACCATCCTACCTCATGGACATTTGTGCTGGCTGTTCTAAGCAGCTGCAGACAGTTATTGTGGTAGGAGGGGTTATCTTTAGCCTGCATTGCTGCCACACATTTTTTGATATCATATCAAAGCTTAAGTGATACTTGCCCTAGGGCTGACTTTGGATGTACCAACTGATGGGGAGCTCCAGTTTAACACCAAAAAAGGGCATATACAGCCATTTTCCTTTGGGACTAGCTATAAATACTGAGATGTACTGGTTGACCTTAGAGGTGGGATATGACTACGCTTTTTTTTTTAATTATACTTAGCAGCCTTTCCTTCTCACAAATGCCTTACCTAAGATGAGATCCTCAGGTTTATTCATAGTAACCCAGTGTCCAAGCTCTTAGTCCAGTCACTCATATTTTCTTGTGGGAATTGTACAGCTTATTCCATGCTGGTGTTGAAACACAGATTGTTTTATATTTGAGAAAGAACAGCAGTGAGTCACTAGTCTGCTAAGCAGTGTTCTTAGCATTTCCTTTCTTTTCTCAGGCGTCTGATGCTTTATATAGCTGAGTTCCTGTCTGTTTGTGTAATACATCTTGAAAAATAATATACACTCCTTTCTGTAGGAGACGTGTTTCCTTGGGTAATATACAGCATACTGTGGTGCACCACTGTCTGGATACTGCAAGTAAACTCTGTATGCTCTCCAGCATGGTGAAATAAGGGCAAATCTGAGCTGTGAGAAAAGCTTACAGCATATACATGTACAGCAGTAAATTTAGGAAGCTCATGCTATTTGTTGGAAGATACTGCTTTTTCATTTGCTGGCTTGCTTTTCGTCAAGCAGAAAGCAGCTTAACTGAAGGTTTGAAATGGAATAAATGAGTATTCAGAGAATTCTTAGCTATAGTTTGGCCTTTTTCCTTAACTGTTATTTTCTTCTGCTTATATTATGTCAGGCAGGCAGAAGACAGCATTCCAGTTAGTGGCTGATATGTTGGTCTGTTTTTTTTGTATGAGTTGTTTTCCTCCAAATGCTTATTTTAGAACTTTTGTACTCTAATCACTGATGTCATATCATGACTCTTGCAATAGTTATTGACAAAATTTACAGTCCCCAGATATTGTTAGGAGTGAAAGATGTCTAGTGATTACTTTTAGAAAACAGCAGTGGAAAACTATTAATTTCATACTCTATTTCATAAATATAAAATTCACTTTAATATTTTTATCTTTTTTTCTAAAATGCTTATATTTTTTTAAGTACTTGTAATTTAGGGGCAGTTGTTGCATGTCATATGAGGCAATAATATGGTAGTTTTACACTTTAAATGAAGCTACACTGTGTTTCTAAAACTCTCATTTAGGGGTAATACTGAGCTCTCTTCTATCTTCTGTGCAGTGTTTGGGTAGCTAGCAAACACATTCACTTCAGTAACACTGAAGGGAAAAACATTTCAGTACAATGCTGGCTGCCTTGTTTAGTAATAGTGGAAGGTTGCTGTGATCCAAACAGTACTTTCAAAAGAGTGTATGTATCTGGTGAAAAACCACCGTCAGCATTTGTTTTTCTTTTCAAGGATTCTTGGACATCGGATTTAAGGATGAGATTGGAAAAGCTCCTGTCTCTGACCCTCAAAGACACTCCTGGGCTTCTCACTTTATTTGTATCCTTTTGAGAAAACACTTTGAAGATGATTAGAATTACTGTTAAAGAGGCAGTATAATTTACTCGAAGGGTGTGCTGTTAAGATTTACGGCAGAATTGCAGTAACGTTGGAGTTCAGTGTTTTTATGACAGGAAACTTTGTTTATATTCCATATTTAAAAAAAAAATCTTTTGAAAAAGTTATGTAATGACAATGGATAGATGCATATGGACCTGCATATTTATTGTATGACCATTCTTTGCTTCCATGTATAAAGTACAGCATGCCTGAAGACACTGACCTGAGCTGACTTCTCAGCATTAGCTAACTGAAAGCTGTTAGTCTTTTCTAGCTGAAAATTTTCCAGGGTTTTAAGGGTTTCAGTAATGGTTGTTTTACTAAATGGTTTGTGATTCAGACTTGTTTTTCTAACGATATTGTTTAAGCTGTGTTGTCAGGCCTAATTTGCAAACTAACTAGCTATATCACAAATTTTCTTCTCTGTTTTTGGTCAGTACAGTTAAAAACATGGTAGAAAAAAATGGAATTTTTGTTTCTGGGTTGTTTTGTTGGGTTTTTTTTTGGGGGGGGTGGTGGGGTTTTTTTTGCTGCGGAGTTTGGGGGTTTTTTTGGGGGTTTTGGGGTTTTTTGTGTGGTTTTGTTTTTTTGTTTTTTTTTTTTTTATGTTGTCAGTTTGGTTTGGGTTGTTTTTGTTGGGGTTTTTTTTATTGTTTTGGGGTTTTTTTTGTTTGTTTTGTGTTTGTTGTGGTTTTTTTTGGTTTTTTTTTCCCCAGGAGAAGTTGAAAGGCCTTTTTGTGCTGTCTCTTATTTTTTTTTTTTAAAGCATTATGTTGCCATGGTGGTACTGAATGATGAGCTGGGAATATATTTCTTCTGTTCCATTCCTGCCCATTTGCCAGGATGGGGAACAGTGATCAAAACAGTGCTTTCACTTCCATCTTAAGGATGTTTGTGTGGGAGTCTGACATAAAACAGCTGATGAAAATTTTCTCTCTGCTTTTCTCTCTTTATGGAGTAATCAACCAGATCCTTATTGAACTCTGAATATTTCTTAGGTATAAAACGTTACTTACCCTTAAACATTTGCATATTTGTATGTTGATTTTATGTAAAATCAGTGGCTTGACTTTTCATATTGATGTTAATGCATTTAGACTGGAGTTACTGTATCTTCTACTTCAGGGCTGGATTTAATCTCTTTAAAGGTCACCAAAAGTCTCAAGTCTGTGTAAAACTGTACACCGTACACAAGATTTTTATGTATTTATTATTGATTCATTTATTGCTATTCTGTAAAGCATTAGGCACTTGCTGTTGTGAGGGACAGTAGGAATATTAGACTTGGTTGGGCTTGCCACTTGGTTGAATTTCTCATTCTGTGCCTCTGGAACAAACATGTACTGAAAGAATGCACATTTCCTGAACTGCTCCTACTTGAACAACAGAAGGAGAATGGACAGTGCAGCAAAGGTAAATGCTGAGATGTGGTAAGACTACTAGGGGCTATAATAGCAGTGGAAAATACACCTGCAATGACAGGGAAAGTAGTGGTGCATGGCTAAAAGTCTTCTGAAATCCAGACCCCTGTCTTGGTGATAGTCATTGCTAGACTGCTTGAGGTCAGTAGGGTTGGACATAGGTATGTGCTATGGAAGAGGGCTTAGTTGTAGGGTTTGTATTTTCAGTCTATTCTGTCCCAAAATATGGTAAAACCAGATGGAGAACTCTGTACAAAGTGCCTACTAGCTCTCCATTTTTAGTTATGATGAAAGTAAGTTTCCTCAGATTCCTTTCCTGTACATGCCTATGCCTACCTGCATCTGCCAGATTTCAAATCTCATTCAGTTATTCAGATGATTGTCTAATGATTTTAGACACACTTTTGTTCCTATTTCTTAATCCTGTTTAAACTCCTAAAATAGCACATACTGGTATCTCCTGAATAAGAATGTGTTTATTTAAGTATGACTCTGATGTGTTGCATTTTTAGGTAAGCTGTTCATACACGCTTAAGCGTGTAAGTGACTTGGGGATATTTAAAAAAATAATTTCAGCACTGAATTCTGTTAGATGCTGATGGCATTTGAAATATTTGCCTTTTAAAAATCAGTTCAATAAATAGAACTTAGGTTCCTGACTATCTTGCATTCATTTTTTTCACCTGTCTCTGTGTTCACTTTATTAGTAGGGATTTGTATGAGCCCAGCTGGGTTCTTCAGATGACTTCTCCTCTTGAGTTACTTTAGTCTGTAATTTTAAATTTAGGATTTACTACTTGTAGATTGAATTAAGGGGAAAGTTAGGCTTATCTCCCAGGATGAGTTCCAGGTATTTTCTTCGTTATTTGTGTTGCACTAGACTTTCATTGGATAGTAGAAAGATCTTTGTGGATTTTTATTTTCCAGAAGTTACTTTTTTCTTGTGGCAATAATTCCATACTCTGATTAAAAAGAAATAACTACATGATTGGGCCTGAATTATTTTGGGTCTAGTTACTTTTTATTTGTGCAGGTTCTGTGCTTTGTACAAGTACAGGGGATGTCATGGTATCAAATCCATACAGGTCAGCTTTAATTTGTAGATCTCTTATACGCCTTGGAGATTGAGTTGGTTTGGATTTTTCAGAAGAGTTACTTGAGGTCTGTCTTGTATGAAAGTTTGGGATCTGAGATGTTATTTTTGCAGTATGCTGCTCAGATCACATGGGATCCACAGCACATACTTGCTATTGGAGAATGTTTACTTTATCAGTGAAGGAGAAAAGCAAAGAAAATTAATAGGCAACACATGAATAAAGAGAAGTATGGCAGAGAGTCCTGAAAGCAGCCTTTTGTACGTAGTTGCCAGTCATTACTCTGACCTACTGAAGCGCTTCAAGTTTGGGTGGGGTGGTGCATATGCTCGAGAGTGTCCTGGAGAGTTCGGTGTGTTTACCTTGCCTGATTAATGTGCTACAGTCTGGGTTTCTACACATTTTTTAAATAAAAAAATAATAAAATAATAATAAAAAATACCTGCATGCATTTTAAAGCTACCTGTGTAGCAGCTGTGCTTAACTTGCAGCTTTCCCATAGGTTTTCAGTTTGGCAGAATGGTTGCCATCTTACACAGAGAGCTTCAGACCTTATGTGTGTCCTCTGGGCTAACAGGAATGGAGTATTTGGAAGCGTGTTCAGCTACTGTCCCCTTCCCTGCCTCATACAAATCTGTGGATGAGTTCACAGTTATTCTTCCGCCATGTCAGGGAAGGGGAGAGTAGGGGAAGTGTGTCAGGCTGCTGCACAATAGAAAGTGAAGTGTGACCTGTCTGTCAAGAATTGCTATAGTCTGAATTACTATTAATGTGGAAAGATGTCAGTTTAAAATATAGATAGTAATTTTTATAGAAATGAAGTTAGCAAGAAGGAGACAAGGCAACTACTGCCACTCTTAAGAGCAAGGTTTTGGTGTCACGTAAGGAGTCCTGGTGTCTGACAGCAGCTCTTGGGACCTGTAACTCCTCTGCTGCATTGTATGCAGAAAGTCAACCTGGCTGGAGTCAGTGCTTCTAGCAGTGTGTGAGGGTGGGCTGAGACTAGAGAGAGAGAGAGCAAGCACCGGTTCAGGAAGTGTGTTTGACATGTAGGTAGGCTGTTGTAAAGGATAACAACTAGTCTCTCACTTAAAGAGAAAAGCTTATTGTGGAATTATGTGTATATGTGTAACTCCTTGGCTGTTCATAGGAACTGGAGTCAAAACATTAAAAAGGCTTGACAATTACATATATGAGAAAGCAGGCAAGAATATTGGTAGAAACATGCAGTAGTTCAGACAATGCCTAATGCCAGCATCTTCATTTGGCAGCGTTGCAAGTTTTACTGTATGCTGCATCCTCCTAAACTAGGTGATTAGTCATCTGCCCTTTATTTTCCCATCTTTTCCTCACATATGAATAATGGTCTGGTAGGTATAAGGTCCAGAGCTTCCCCTCAGCTCTCCCTAAACTTATCATATGCAGAAAGCATATGGGAGTTTTGTCTCGGAGAGG